TCCCATTCACCAAAACATTTTTATTTGCGTAATAATAAAGGTGATTTAAAAGACTTCCAAACGAACTTGTCACCTGTCAGTTAGAGAGCACGTAAGAAAAAGAAGCGAAGTACAACGTTACTGGTTTGGCAAACAAACTTAAGTCCAATGATTGTCATGACAATTTTATTTGTCACCAACAGTCAGTGATTGTACGGAAAGTATTTTTCACTTCCATCGAAGATTAATGTGCCAAGATTTACCTCTGTCAGTAATTGGCAAGGAAAGTAACTGTAAGTAAATTCAAACGTATTTTTTGAAGTTGTGAGAGTTTGCTCGTTTATTTCCTGCAATGGCGTGTGTAAATCTTGTCTTTCTTTAACTAAAAAGCTTCAGAAAAAAAGACACCTCCACTACACCCAAGAGGATTTAGTGTGGTTTTTTTATCTTTTTCATTGAATTCCCTCGATTTCCGCTGTGCAATTTGTGCTGCACATGTCCAGATTGAACGGACTTGCGAAGACCTGCCGAAAGTGTATTTGTAGCAGACCTGAAAACTGCGCTCGTCGCTTAAATTTTACAACGAAAACGTTGTTGGAGAGAATTCAGATATTAAATAAATGAAGGTTCCATTGTAAACAAATACCTCACGATTTAACTTATTCAGTTACTTTTGTGAAGGATTAGAATAAATAACAAAAGGTTTTTTAGGCTGCGCGTCAACCATTTAATGACACATTTGCTACCACAAACTCATTTCGGAATCAATATTTCGTTGGCAGCCAAAGTGATTTGAAAGGTCAAGAGAGAGAGAGAGGGGGAGGGGGAGGGGAAGAGAGGATTGATAAGTTATTTATGGACTTGATTTACTTAAATTTCTTTGCTTAAAAATACAGTAACTGCTCAGCCGGCAAAACGAAAATTGGCAACGAAGTTAGGAATGTTCTCGTCGTCTCACGAAAGGGTTATCGTGCCCATGGGCAGAGATAGGAAATACAGACCGCATTCAGAACCAATCAGATTGCAGGCTTTT